CAACAGGGCACTTAAGTCTTGGTTTTTGTATGCTTGTGTACTATGACTTGATTATTTTGAAGTCATTAAACTCCTTTTTTAAAAAAGTTTCTGATTTTCAGTCTTCCTCCACCTATGCTTTTTGAGTGAAGCTTTGTGGAATGCTTAGATTCTTGGCAGGAGAGGAAATTGCCTGAGGATTTCTGGCCTTCTTCTTTTCTGAGGAACTGGACACCCTTTTGGGCTTCTCATTTCCAGCAGAGCATACGTAGAGCAGCTCAAATGTAGAGGAGGGTTCTGCCCTGGCTGGTGTAGCTCAGTGGATTGAGTGCGGGCTGCAAACCAAAGTGTCGCAGGTTCGATTCCCAGCCAGGGTACATGCCTGGGTTGCAGGCCATAACCCCCAGCAACTGCACATTGATGTTTCTCTCTCTCTCTCTCTATTTCCCTCCCTTCCCTCTCTAAATAAATAAATAAAATCTTTAAAAAAATGTAGAGGAGGGTTCTGAGATCAGAAGAACTCCTGAGTTTCATGTCCTCCCTCCGATCCAGAAGAGAAGAAATACTTTGAGTAGGAGGTTAGTTGTAGGGCTAAGGAATGAGCCCAGAGTCCTGGCTATGTGGTGTGGAGTATGAGGAAAAAAGCAAGGATGGCAAGCAGAGCTTGATTCATGCATGACATCTTTAAAATTTTAAATCAGCTGTTTTAAATACATTCAAAGACCTAAAGGAAACAATGTCTAAAGAATTACAAAAAAGTATGAGAATAATGTCTCTCTAAATAGAAAATATCAACAAAGAGATATAAATTATAAAAATGAACCAAATAGAAATTCTGGAGTTGAAAAGTATAATAATAAAAATGAAAAATTCATTAGGGGATCTCAATAGCATATTTGAGTAGGCAGAAGAAAGAATCAGCAAATTTGAAGATAGAGCAATTGAGATAATCCTATCTGACAAAGACAGGGAGAAAAGAATGAAGAAAAATGGGCAGAGCCTCAGAAACCTGCAAGACACCATCAAGTATGCCAAAATATGCATAATAGGAGTCCTAGAAGGAAAAGAGGGAGAAAGGAGCAGAAAGAATACTTAACAAAATAATGACCAAACACTCCCCAAATTTGATGAAATCCATTGATCTACATATCCAAGAAGCTCAACCAACTCCAAGTACAATAAACTCAAAGAGATCCGTAACTAGACACATCAAGCAGCAATTCATCATATACAAAGGAGCCTCAGTAAGATTAACAGCTGATTTCTCATAAAAAACTATGGAAGCCAAAATCAGTGGGATGGCATATTCAAAGTAGTGACTGAAGCAGTAGTGCGTGTGGAGTGATAGTGGGAGCTGTAAACCAAAAGTTCTACATCTGACAGTTATCCTTCAGTCATTTCAAGATATACAAATCTGAAAAAGTTTGGCCCAGCAAAACTGCCCTACAAAAAACTGTACTGAAATAAAAGAACACTAGATAGTAACATGACTGACTCAACATGAAGAAATAAGGGGCACTGGTAAAAACAATTACCTAATTAAATATAGGAAATGGTATAAATGTATCTTTTATTTTAACTCATTTTTTTCTGTCTTATTTAGAAGACAACTGCATGAAATAATAACTATAAATCTATGTAGATGAGGACAAAATGTATAAATATGTAATTTGTGATAATCACAATGTAAGAGGGGAATGAAACTATACAAAAGCAAAGTTTTGTGTACCACTGAAATTAAGCTGGTATTAATCTGAACTACGTTTTTCTAAATGAGATTTTAATAGTAACCACCAAGAAATAAGTTAAAAAATATAGTAAATGAAATAAAAGGATTAAAATACCACACTAGAAAATAAATATTTAACACAAAATAAGTCAATAATGGAAGAATAGAGTCAATAATGGGGGAATGGAGGAACAAAAAAAGACACTGAAATATAGAAAAGAAATAGCAAAATGACAAGCATAAATTTTAATTTACTAATTACATTAACTGTAAATAGATTAAACTTTCCAATTAAAGGGCAGAGATTGGAAGAATAGATTTAAAAACATGATTCAACTATATGCTGTCTTTAAGAGAATTTACTTAATTTTTTAATTTTAAAGATTTTATTTATTTATTTTTAGAGATGGGGGAGAGAGAGAAACATTGATAACATGGGAAAGAAATATCTATGCATTGCCTCTTGCATGTCCCCAACTGCGGACTTGGCCCAGAACCCAGGCATGTGCCATGACTGGGAATCGAACCAGCAATGTTTCCGTTTGAAAGCCAGTACCCAATCTACTGAGCCACAGCCACCAGAGTAAGAATCACTTTAGATTCAAAGGCACAAATAGGTTGAAAGTAAAAAGATAGAAAAATTATATCACACAAACAGCAACTGACAGAGAGCTGTGTGACTATACTAATATCAGACAAAATAGACTTTAGACAAAAATTGCTACTAGAGACAAAGAATACTTTATAAAGAAAAAGGTGTAATTCATCAAGAAGACATAAACAATTATAAACACATGTTAGCCTAGAAACAGAGCCCCAAAATACATGAAGAAAACTGAGGTCTTTAAGACCAGTACAAGAAGAGAAGGCAGCTCTGACCCAAATACTTGACCCCCGTGATCTATTACAGTGCTTAATAGTCTACCACTAGGAATTCATCCCTTTGGTTTAAAGTTTTGACTTCCTTAGAGTTCTTTGTTAAAATATAAATATAGCCCTGAAGCCACCTATTTGCATTAACACCTAGACGAAATTGGTTTAAGATCCTTTGGAACGGTGACTTTTAGTGACAGAGGCAAAGGGCTGAGCCGTTTTTGATAGGCATAGACATGGCCTGGAGAGGGCCAGGGGGAGAGTAGGAAGGAGGGAGTCCAAGACTGGATGGAGGTATTGAGAATGGAGAAAAAGTACAGGATGGAGAGAGGTGGAAGAAAGTTAGGGTATCACAGAGAAACAGAAAAGATCCCAATGAAACTGTAAAGGAAAGTGAATGCTAACAATTAGCAAAGCAACTGGGGCGTTGGTTTGGTGCTAGAGCTCATGGTTTAGCAACTCAGGGCTGAGGGCAGAAGACACACCAGAAAGAAGCACAAGGAATCAGAATAGGGGAACGAGGGAAGAGCCAGGGATGGTGATGAGCACATGTCATTCCCAGGTAAATATCCAGGAGCTGGCACCAGGTTTGAACTGCCATCAGAGTCCTGGAGAACTACAGGCAGGGACGTTGAATGGACTATGGGTTGAAAGCTATAGGAACTGACTGGGAAACCGAAGGGAGAGCAGGGCCATGAGGCAAAACCAGATACAAACTCACCAGCCAGGCAAATGGGCCAGGCAATTGGGCACTCAAATGAGGTAGCGTGTGTGGGATTGCTCAGTTTTCAGGTAGATGTTTGGTGTTAGTTGGTTCTCATCTAAAAATGAAGCAAGGCAAAGGGTCTGGGCAGTAACTCAGCAGTGACAACAATAATAGCCCCTACTTGTTAGCACCAATTATGTCCTGGGCACTATGCTAAGTACTTTACCTATGATGCTTTATTTATTACTTAAAATATCCCTCTGAGGTTGACATTGAAACCTCCAATCTACAGATGAACATGAAACCTGGTGAAGTGACTTGCTCAAGATCATAACAGCAATGTAAATGGGATGGAGACAGGTTTTTTCTAATATGACTGCTACTTGTGCTGGGCTGACAGTCCCTGGGGTGACTTCAATCACCATGGTGGCTTAAAAGCAATGAAAGAGAAGGGGGGAGGGCAGCTGAGACCTGGGAACACAGAACTTCTCAGAGTTTCTCTGAGTCCCCATGCTCCATATTTTTTCAAGTGTGGTTGGAAAAGGGAGCAGCAGAGGCCTGCAACCCTTCCCAGCCCTCTCTCTTGGGAGCTTTGAGGATTCATGGGGATTTACTGCATGTGATAGAAGGCGAGGCACTAGGGGCATCCCACCCTGCTCTAAATCCTGAATTTACTTTTAAAAGGAAAAATGCAGCCCCGGCCAGGGATTAGGTGATTGGGGATAAATGCATCTATAGGCTTAGGGAGCCCAAGGGATGGCCTGCTTGCCCCACAAATCCCAATTGCCATCCCTGTTTTCCATCAAAAGTGGGACAACAGCTGCTGTCCTTTCTTCTTGGCTATCCCTACCTTCTACCCGCACCACACACACACACACACACACACACAAACACACACAACCAGTATTCACACAGCAACACACAGATATGAGAGGGCCATTTCTGGGTGACCCAGCCCCCATGCATCCCACTAATGAGACCTTCACTAGTGCCCTCTCTTAGGGAAATGAGTGTCTTGTGAGTTCCCCCTGAAATTTGACTGGGGGCCAGGATAGCTTAAGTTGGAAAACAATCATGTCATCATAAGCATTCTGAGAGGACAGAGCCTAAAGCCTCAAATAGCTCACCCTTCATTTTATTGATGACATGGACACCCAGGGAGGGAGCTGGCTTGCCCAAGATCATGGAGCATCTCCTGGTGCTCATTGCTGGTTTTCATTCTCACCCTTCATGGGCAACCTGGTGCCTACGAAGAAGGGCTGGATGACACAGAGAGAGAAGTCTACAAGAAAGAGGTAGGCACTCACCTGGTGACCCATGGGGCTCTGACCCTTTGTTGGGGGAGGCTTCAGGGAACAGCCTTGGGAACTCTGGCCCCTCCCCAGCTTGGATGCCTATGTGCACTTCATCACCCACTCTCCTTTGGGGGCCCGGGAGCATAGCCTAAGAATGGTGATTGGCAGGGATCTTTATGGTCTTTTCATCCAGCTTCCTACCCAGGGCAGGAGTGCCCTCCTGAGCCCTGCTGACAGCCAGGGAGTGATGCTGGCACCCTGCCCTGAGCTGGGAACCCACCAGCACCAGCTGCAGGAACCACCACAGGCCCAGGTTGGTCCCTTAGTCTGAAGGCCCCATGCTGCTGTAGTCACAGGGGTGCCAAGGCCGGCAGCGACACTCTGTCCACAAACAGCAACAAAATGTCACCATCAGAGCCATACTTTATTTTTTTAAATAGTTTTCTGAAAAAAAAAAAAGATGAAGTCAGTAACTATGGATGTGATGTTGGGCCTAACCGCTGGCATGTCAATCTACCCTGTTAATCATCATGTACCATTTTTTCAAAGAGCTATTTTGAGAAACATTTAGAAAATGGCTTTACATAGCTACAGTTTATTTATACCCTCCAGAAATGGTCTTTCTTTTGAGCAGCAGATGGGCTTTCCCCCCTAGTTTTCTTTTCATCTCTGGAGGTTAGGCAGCATGTGAGCCCACTCCCTAACCCCAGGCACACATTTATCACCCCCAGGCCACCTGGGAGTTCTGCCTGTGGGTGGGTGGTGAGGAGTAAAGGCTGTGGGTTCCTTGTAAGGCACTGTTCCAGGGAACCCACTGGGGCAAACACCATAGCCCTGTGGATGCTGAGAGAGGCTGGGCCCTGACGTCTGGGAAAGAACAGGACCCCTGAGGGTGGGGAATAAGATATGGGTATCCTGGTTTGCTCCCCTCAACACCATGCAGGTATCTTGAGGTCCATGAAGCATATGCCAAGAGTGTCCCATTGGCATCCAGAGAACAGGAGCCATAGCCAGACCAACCACCTTGGCATTCATTGCCTAAGTGCCATATCTGTGGCCTGCAGGAAGCAGCAAGTCAGCCCTGCACTGTTACCGTGGCAACTGCAGTGCTGAGGCTCCTAAAGGCAAGGGTGGGGGAGAGAAGGGAGGTGGAGAAGGCACATGGTGGCTTTTCTGGAAAAACCCATCTGTTTCTTCTTCCCAGGAAGTCAATCTGGAAGGGTGGGGGGAAGAAGGGAAAGAATGGGCATCTGGGGTCTAGAGAAAGTAGGGCAAGAAAAGACTCCAAGATGCTCCAAGAGCAGCTTTTTTGACCAGAGGTGCTCCCCTTCTTTATGGGGGAGGACAACGGTCTGGGCTGGCCTTGGTAGGGGCATCTGTGCAGGAGCCATGTGCTGGATTCATTGTAGGTCCTGTGAGCCCAGGCCTGGGTGGAGCAGACCTGGGAGGTGCCTATCAGCCACAGCAGGTTTTCTTCTTGGCAGGGCGATCAACCTGAACGGTGTCCTCTCTCACTGTGTCTTCTTGCTCCTTGAGGATCCTGGCAGAGTGGAAGGTATACTGTCAGGGTCATAATGACAGACCCCAGCCTCACCAGAGCATCAGAGAGAGTATTCCAAGTCTCTCTCTGGGGAGTACAAGTACATAACTATAATTTGTAAAGCCCGAGTTTAGTCAATATGGATCCTTCACACCTCCTCCAGGAAGCCTCCCCAAACACCTAGGTGTTGTAAGTGCTCCGATGGCACTTTGACCCTTCTGTTATAGCCCCATCGGTCCTGTAATTATTGAAGGGGCTGCTGAGAGCAGAGACTGTATCTTTTATTCCTGCGTCTCTGCAGCCTATCACAGTGCCCAGAACACAGTATAGGCTCAGAACATATATTTCTTACTTAGTAACTATGGAAGGGCTGTCCCATGTGGCCACAGCTCCAGATTAGATGTAGGAGGTGAAGGATTAAAAATAGTGTTAAGTATCTTATCCCTGCTTTATACTGTCAAAGTGCTTTCACCTTCAGCATCTGTTTGATTCTCACAACAACCTGTGAGTGGGCAGGGAGGGTATAACTGATGTTCTTACATTAGCAGCAAAGCTCAAAAAGGTAGGGTCACTTGATCCAAAAATCAGTGTCAGAGAAAAGCCTAGAACTTTCTCCACGGTCTTCCATAACCCCAGAACCTCACCGATGAATAAAAGAAGTTGTTCCGGGTTCTTAATTACTCCAATAAAAATATTTTTAGATGCCCCAGAATGAATGCTAAGCACAAATGAGTACTATTAAGTAAGAACTTATGTGAGCTGGGTGGATGGATGGAATGAAACAAATGCCTGGATAGATAAACGAGTGAATGTTCAAGTACAGAAAACAGGGCCCTGTGTGTGGTGGTGTTCTCTTAATTTTGGTGTAGGCAGAGGCTTATGGAACCCGTCCTTGAGTGTCATCCCCTTGGGTGGCTCTGGTCTCCCATCATAGCCCCTCCTCTCCTTGCCTCTGCTTCCCATTCCCCAGGAGCCCTAACCCATCCTTGTTCCCAGCTGACTGTCAACTAATCACTGCTAAGATATTAGCCAGTGTTGGAGGACCTATGACATGACCTTTCCCAGAAGCATTTGCATTGAAAAAGAGAATTCCTGGGGGAAATGCAGCCTTTAAGATGCAGTGACAGGCAGGGAGCCTTTGTTTTGGGCCTTATTGTGTTTCATAAGGCTGTCTCTTGCCCCTGGAATGCCACACAGAGGCCCAGGCCACCAGACCCTTTACCCAGAGGCTCAGGCAGACAGAAGACAGACCCAGAGGTCAGGGGTGGGGGAGTGGGGGTTGGTGGTGAATGCAGTGGTCCCCATCCGGACCAGCACGGCCTAGTCATGTCACCCACTGAGCTGTGTCTCTACCTGGCCAGATGGAGCAGGGACTCTTTGGTATTGTGACCAGAATAGGCACTGCATTCATAGAAGATCAAATTGTTCTCCTAGAATCATAAAACAGAAGGAATAAATTGGGGGGGGGGGTGCAGGGAACTGTGGGGTGGGGAGCGAACACGCTGTCTGCCTTTACCCAAACCCCTGTTTCCTTCCAGAGTCCCCTTAAATTCCTCCACCCCCTTGCCACTCTCTTAGAGGTTGGTTTCTGTCTCCTCAGGTAATCCCACTAATCTAAGTTCCATAACTATGTCCCAGGTGAGCTATAATAATTGTAAAACAACAAAACCATAAGCTGTTTGGCACTTTCTCAAATTGTTCCCAGGTAGGGTATGCATGTGCTCATTTCCTTTTCCACCATCCTAGATGCAGGCAAAGACACAGAGGCCAGGGGGAAGACATTCTTCCACTTCACAGGCAGGAAAACTGAGGCTAGAGAGGGTGTAAGTGGCCAGCCTGCTCCAGTCACATATTAGCTAATGGCAGGGCTCCCAGCAGCATGCTTTTCCCAGGACACTGATGTGCCATAGGCCTTGGGGCAGATGTCACTCCAGTAGGAATTCTTCACACCAGTCAGTTAGCACTCCAGCTGCGTAGGCTGTCAGCGCTGGTGCCACAGGACAACTGTCCATCACTTCACTGGGCAGAGTCTGTGCTACATGGCCCTTGGCCAAGGCTCATCCTAGTCCATTTATCACTCCCATTAATAGCTGTCCTGCTTCCGTATGGCAATGTTAATGGCATTGAGGTCTGGAGGCTGATGCCCTATGGGGATGTAGGCAGTTGAGCAAGGATGCTTGTTTTGTGGCTGCAGATCAGAAGGCTCTGCAAATGCTGGCTCCCAATTCAGCTTTCCTGCTCCACACCCCACAGACCCAGCTCTGTCCTCTGCCCTCTTCATCCCCCAACCCTTCAGTCCTGACTCCTGGTCAGTCTGTGAAGAACAAAGGCTCCATGATTGGGGGAGGGGAAGTGCATAGGCCCTAGAATTGAAAGACAAGACTTGTCTTCCAGCTTCAAGTCCAGACTGCCCCTGAGGAGCTGTGTGACAATTTCAATAAGTCACTAAATTTCTCTGAGCCTCAGTTTTGTTTCACTGACCAAAAAAAAGAAAAAAGAAAAGAAAATGAGATGATAAAAATGCAGGTCCTGCAGTTCCATAGTCAAAGTCCTTGGATCCAGATATATTTTAGAATCCAGAAATTTTGAGTTTCAGAAAGCTAATTCATGTATGCGCTACATTACATAATACCCTCAGTGGGTCTGGGACAGCATCCTATAACCAAACATATTCATTAATATTTCATCAGTGAAACATCTGAATATTTATTCAAAGTGTAGCACTCAATGATTGTCAATAACTGCATGTCAATTCTGGTCAGATTTTTCTTCCAGATGAAATGCAAATCCCTTTTTGTTTTCAGAGATTTTTGGATTTTGGAATTGAGGATGAGGGACTGTGGACATGTAGCTACTTGGTGACCCTGCACAGGAACACCTGCCAGGCCCTCCTTCCTCCCTTTTCCTTGAATCTTACCATCTGTACACTTTTCCCAGGCCCTGAGGCCATGAGTTTCTATTTAGTTGAGCACACTAAGAATTATGAATCCTGGGGCCAGACAGCACCCCCATCTTTCTGGACACACGGTTCCCTGAGAACTACACTGAGGAGTGGGAGCAGCCCAGGAGCAAGCACTGCATGTTTTGTTGCTTGATTTCCATCCAGCCCTGTTGCTTCTGGGCTTGGGCAAGAGGGCTGCTGCTTATTTTATTGGTAGGCTGTCCAGTCTGTGCCCTGCATTTATATTGAGTTCACAGCTTTGAGGCTCTGTCTTGGTAGAAAGGATGAACTCTCTAACAAAGGTGTCCAAAGAAAAGTCAGCCTTGCAGTTAGTGAGTGTTTCATGCCTGAAGGGGATCAAGTGGAAACATACATGATGGGGTTCAAGCATCAGATAGGGACTAAAATAAGTAACTTCTTACTATCAAAGAATTTATAATTCTGAGCTGTGAGGGAAAGACTTTGGGAAACTTCTCCATAACCTAGTCATCCCTAGCCAACTCCAACTTATAATCCATGGCTTTCTACGCAAAGTCCCACATGCACAGGAGCTGGACTGTTCCTAAGATGCCAGGACACCCATCTTGCCCCCTTGCTTCCTTCCCTGGGGCATTCCAGAGAAGTTCCCACCAAGGCTCTGGGGTGATGCCCAACTGTCCTCAGTCCCACCCTATCCACAGAGATGGAAATGCCTGCTCTTTACCTTGGCAAGCTGTTCTCCAAGGCCCCGGGGAACTTCCCGCTCTTTCTCGTTGTCAATTTTATTGCCTAGCAGAAGTACAGGAATCTGGTCTCCCACAGCTTCCTGCAGAACAGACAATACCCCAAGTAAGAGGGGCATCCATACAGAGAACCCAGATGGGCAGGCTTGAAATGCTGGATGGAAAGATACATCTGACTTGAGAATCCCCTGCTGCCACAATAGGCCAGGCGATAACAGCCATCCTCAAAGCTGAGTGACAGAGCCACCTTCTCTGGGAGCCTCAGAGTACATGGCTTTGGCAGGGTGCCTGAGGCCTGCCTCTGGGCGCCTCTGGGTACCTCCAGGCCCTGTCAATGCAGTGTCCCCTCCCTCCCTCACCACTCTCCTTGGATGCTGGATAGAACATATAGGCCCCCTAGGTGTGCTGAGAGTGGGTATCAGGATAATAAGCGCACAGTTGGACTACGTGTCCTTTCCCAGGGCTTGCAGCACCACTGAGGGCATTCCTCCTTAGCTAGCCTTAGTCTGAACAAACCTTAATAAACCAGAATGAACCAAAGGAATGAATGCCACATGGTTTGGAGCTGTTCTAGGGGCTGCTGTGATGAGAAGTGGCATTTCCAGGGGCCTCATATTTGGCATGTGAGCTCCCTAAGGGTTGGTTCCAAATCTGATTCATGGTATTAGGTCCACAGTGCCTGAAAAACGATGGCATGTGAATCACTGGAGGTCACCGCATGGGGTGCTGCACAGCCCTACCAAAGGGTGCCCTGGATCTGAAGGAAGCCCTGCCTGGGGAAGAACTGTGTGGCTATAGCAACTGCACTTCTTGGGCCAGAAGTAACAGGTTTATTCAAGGGGTCAACCCCATTCACTACTCCTGTGGCTGTGGCAGATCAGCAGGGCCGGTGCATCCCAGGGTCCCTGCTCCATGAAGTCCTCCCTTGTGAAGAGTGCACTGTCCATCCCTTTCCTGAGGGCAAAGGGCCCAGGACTCACAGTTATCAAGTGAGTAAATAGGGTATAAGCAGGTTGCTAGTTTTTACTTTGTGAGATATTTAACTAGGGGCTTTTGATCATAAATTGGTAATGAATAAGTATTCATTATAGTTTAATATTTTACTAAATGGAGAAGGCTGTGGGATAAGAAGCTATCAAATAGTTATAGTTTTGCCAATAGTTCAGCTACTTGATGTCATCATTTCAAATAAATGTCCAAAGTCCATCTGATAGATACACCTATTTTAAGTTTAAATGCAATTACATTTGAAATTAAGCCTCAATGATTTCTTAATATACACATTCATTCTTATTGCAGTTCAGTCATGAAAAACTTTATTAAATGAGAATATTAAGGCTCAGAGAATCCAAAAGAACATTCAACATCAAAGCCATTGAGTTATGAGGACCCTTTGGTAGATGGGCCCATGATTCTCTAATGTTTTCCTCTAAAATCTGATGTCCAACAAACTCTCTGCTATTTAGTGTCTTATTAATTGGAATGCTCTAAAGACAGTATTTCCATATATCCATGGTAAGTAAATAATGTTGGTAATGATGACTCAAAGGCACTATAGGATCTCATATTGTCTTCAAAATAGATTCAATTATACATACTGTAGCAGCTGTGTTAAGAGAGTGCACCATATTACAATAATTTGTGAGTGAAAAACCTACTTATGGCATGTAGAAAATGCCGTGGCTCCCTATTACCAGAGTGTCAATTAATGGGAATACCCCCATTCTCTGACTGTGCTATGCCACAGAAACCTAGGAAACAGTTTTTCACAGAAAGGAAGAAAAGAGGAGGAAGGAGGGAAATGGGCCAAAAGGCTTGCTGATCGGAGCACAGGAGAGATATTTGTAGATATATGTGTGAGGAATGACTAAGGCTTGTGGGAATTTTTTGACATGGAAACTCTGAAAATATGAGCATCAGACTTGAAATCTCAGGGCAGAAGTGGAAATCTAACCAGATTTTGGTACATGGGTGATGGCTTCACTCTCCTCCTCCCAAAGGGGAGGCTGGGAACTGAAGGACAGAATAGGATGAGGCAGGGAACAATCATAAGCCCAACACCTGAGCCCTGTGCACCATGCACAGCAGTGTGCCTCTTGGGAAAAGAAGGGGCAGTCTTCTTTTTAAAAGAAATTTCTGGATATAAAAATAGAAGAGAAAAGAAGGAGCAGAAAACATCCATGTCCCCAGCTAGAGCTGCAGTTTCTGCTCTCTGGGTCGTCCCTCTTAACACAGACTCTCTGGACAACCTGCTTCCCCTCCATGGGCTATGGCCTGCCACTGACAAAAGAGAATTAGGTCTCTCCCCAAACACATGGCAAAAATTTGTAAGAACAAGTCTGGAGAGTGAGCTATCATGGGCAGTCAATGTACATTACTCCAGCCCCAAATCAATCTCTGACCCAGGGCCATAGGGAAGGGTTGGGACTAGGGTGGGCGTCTCACAGCCCTCTCTCACTTTAACCTCTGCCTAAACTATAACCCTTTTGCATACATTACTAGATTTTCAGCCTATATATTGCTTGGGACAAAGATACTTATAACTATCCACCAGATGAAGGAACATTTCCTTTTAAAAGTTCAAAGAGCACCTCCTCTGGAGAACAAGCCTAAGGCCCACCCAAACTCTGCTGACCTTCTGTAGATGTTAGTAAAATCCCATAGATGTGCCAGGCCAGACAGAGGAACTGAAGCCCCTTAGCTGGGGTACACATTCTCTCTGTACGAGACCTGGCTTGGTCCTGGATCTGCTGTCCCTCTGTGGGACAACTGGTTTGCGCCAGTTGCTCCCCTTTGCTCCTCTCTTCTCTGAGCTGTAAAATAGGCATCTAAAGCTAGTTTCTGTCCTCTGACTTAGATATGGAAGCCTCTCTACACCTTCAATCATGTTAGTTGCCTTTCTGTGAACTTGAGCTTGTTGGAAGACAGACTAGTTAAAATTCAAAAGATTACACATCTCTGACTTTAAATAACAAGGGCTGTCAGTTTGGAACAGAAGATTGACACTCAGCTCCAAATATGCAGCTGTTGGGTTTGCTGGGTTGTTGTGTATGTGAGTGTGTGTGTGCGTGTTAATATCTATTTGCTGGGAGGCAAGAAAAGCACTTAGCAAGGATAGTGCTGCTATTTCTCTGGAGCAAGAACAAAAAATTCACAGCACATTAAAGTATGCAGTTATGCTAAGCAAAAAAAAATGACTGCAAAATTATATCTTGGGGGTTTCCATATTTATCCACCCCCTGGACTATGAGTCAAAACAAGATTTATTTGTGTAGTTCGTTTAAACTGCCAGCACTTCAAGCTCAACTTGGAATGTGGGGGGAAAAAATCAAACCGCTATTTTTTGCTCTGTGCTGCACATTGTCACCAAAGACAAAGATCATAGAATGAGAATTAGCTAGCAGTCCACAAGAGGACAGGGAAGTGGGGCTGACCCCTTTCAGTTGAAGAACTGATCTGCTTTGAGACAAACGCTGGAAGGACTGAAAAAGAAATGAACACCTATATTTTTGAAGCAGATTTCAACCATGGGCCATGTGATGAGAGAGATGCATAATGCAGTGGCAAAGCCCTAGATTTTGGTTCTGGCTGTGCCGCTTGACAAGCCATGGGTGCCTTTGGACAAGTCATTTCCTCTCCCTGGATCTCACAATTTCTCATCTATAAAACAAGAGGCTGCATTGGATTAATCTCCCAAGTTTTTTTCTAGCTCAAAGACACTAATGTTGCTGGCTTAATAATGCCCATCATATTCCACTTCCTTGACTTATAGATCTAACAATATAGTGCTATAGAATGACAAAAGATTTTTTAAAATAGAAGTTCAACATGCCAGGGCTGCAGACACTTAGGATAAAAAATCTGGCTCATACTAAATCTTATTTTCTCTGATATGGGCCCTAAGTCTTTAGAGGTCCAGTGTGTCCCGTGGTCTAAACATGGGGCCTCTGGAGCCCAACCAGTTTCTTCTCTAGATTGAACTGTTTAACCCAGTCCCAGCAGCAGGGATGAGAAGGAGGTAGGGGAGGGTTGGGAATGCTGAGTCAGCAGGAATGACTAACTGCTTTGATTTCCTGTAAGGTACGTAGGAAATGTAAAATGGCAGGAGAATCAGCACACAGTGTGTCTGAGCCCAGTTTGGGCCTCTTCTGCAGAAGGCCTGCAGGCAACATAAAGCTGCCCAGGAGGGAAGGACAAGGGAGGGTGAGGTAGGAGAACAGTCATGGGCACAGGATGTTTCCAACTCACAAGGCAAGGTTGTTCTCTTGTGAAAAAGGATTTGGGTTCCCTCTGGGCTGGAAGTATCCTCTAGGATCCTCTGATGCACACACACTCCTGACCCATCCTGCCCACCCCCAGAGAGTCAACCGCCATACCCTGTAGAATGTGGGGGACAGGAGGGACCTTGCAGAGACCATAGTCCACTCCTTCATTCAGTGACTGGTCACAATTTCATAGCCAGAAAGTGGCCGAGCTGGGATGATAAGAACTTCCTATTCAGGGAACTCCATATCTTCCCTGAGCATTTGTTCCCACCACAGAACCTCTTCCAAGAGAGTCTTTGCCATGTATAATCTGGGGCAATTTTAGCTCTTTCTTCTTGTACTGCTTTTAGGGCTGTGGGAGGAAGGGGCAGTGAGAACAGCTGGCTAGCATTCACTTAATAATAAGCCTTCAGAACCTGAAGCCTGCTATTAAAGCTCCCCCTCCACCCTCCCTTCCCCAGGTAGGGGAGTCAGCAAAGTGCTTGGCACTCTATGGAAAAATGAGGTGCTCCACAAATATAAAGTACTGATTATTTTCAGTTCCTCTCCAATTAAATTAGGTGTCAAGTTTTAATATATCACCTGCCACATCTGATGGCTGGTTGCCAATGCAGAATAAGCTAGTTTTTAAAGAATCTTCAGAATTGTTGCATTTATGATGCCGTCATTCCGTGCCTTCAACACATAGTCTGCCATCCAACACAGCCTTTTGCACTGTTCTTGACACGCTGGGCCACTGAACTAGGTCTCTGAAACTGAGTCCTCAGGAGTGGCTTGTGAGTGCTGGACATGCAGGAGATACTCAGAAAATTCTTGTT